ATTCTATGATTCTATGAAAAGTCAGTGTATTCACAAGATAAAGCCGTGAGAAAGTTCTAGCAGCTCACAGCTGGGTTTTGGTTTTTTTACCTGAAACGTGTGAATAGTTCTGGCCCACGCATGTTTTATGTGACACAGTTTCTTCAGCGCCTTGTACTTCACTGTGAAAGTGGAGCCGTACGTGCTGCTGATGGTCAGCAAGCGCTGTTTCTGAATTTCTGTGTCCTACAGGAACAGAACAAGAACGCTCAGCAGTACGCTCGTACCGGCAGTTGGATCGATGTCTACACATTTGCCTGTGTCCATACACTAGCTTTCCCTGAAATCACAATGGCTGCAGTGTCAACAGAGTGAAGTAGTTTCAGAAGACACTAAACCCAAAAGACGTCTATTCTTTCCCCGGCTACCTTCAAGGAACATAGTTTCACTTTGCAGGGCCTACCCTAACTGCTTCTCTTAGCTAAGGAAAATGCTGAGAAAGGCAGTTTTACCCCCCCCCGAAAACTAAATATTATCCTAGTGTAGAGAGAAATACACCAGCGAGGCCGTTTGCCATTCTGTTGCCAAAAACGGAGAAAAGTCTATTCTCTCCCACCAACCCTGTATGCTCCCCCTTTCCCAAAATACTGATACTTTCACTGTTGAGAGGACCCTCTGTTGAGAGTACTCAACGCACTGAACCCAGCAGAAAAATACAGCTGGTTTTGTTGCTGTGTTTACTGGTCAGCTTAGTTCTCTGCCAGGGGAGAGCTCAAGCTCTAACATCAGCTTTATTCTTTACTTGTTTCTAGACCATGTTTCTACCTACATCCAAAACATTATGTATTAAACTTATATTGCGTAAATACTCAGCTGTATCGTATTGACCCTGGGCAGGAGCAGACCATCTCAAAACACATTTTACAGAAGTGCCCAGAGATTTTTTTAATTCTACTGTGAGTCTGCCTCTTTCTTGCCTTTCATGCGACAGTTTAGCAGAAGAACTAAGTATGTATTGCGGACTAAAATTTCACAGTGTGCACTGCTGTCTTCTAGGGATTCAACAAGGACCCAAATTATAACCGGGTTTTTTGTGCAAGTTCTTGCCGGAAGGACTTACATCCGTTATGAAAAATATGTCCCCGTTGCACAGTCGTTTGCCCTCCTCGGCAGGCTCTGTAGAGGAGGTTCCTGCACTTTTGCATTCACAGCGATGCGGATCCTCTCTCAAGCCACCATCTGGCAGGAGATCCTTGAGATACGTATTCCGCACGCAGGAAATCTTGTCATGAATTTGAAACAAAAGTCGGTTTTTATTGTCTCTAGGTCAGAGAAAGATAAAGGGAGAAAGGTGTTTACAAAGGATGCATTTACCATCTCTCAGTATTTCTCCTCTTTCCCCTCTCTATGCCTGGGTAAGATTAAGAGCCTTATTAATGTTCAAAACAGTTAACTCACCTATAAAAGGTGTTTCTTCAACTTTTGTAAAACCTTTTGGTAAAAAACAGTAAACCAGAGTAGCACTAAAATGCTGCTTCCAAAAATATTTCAGAATCTACTGAGGAATCATACAGTGGCAAAAAAGAACTAACCTTGGGTTCTTTTTTTTCAAGTACCTTTTATGGCAGTTTTAAATATTCAGCCGTAACTCAAACACTTGGAATTCACACAATGACAATTTAAATGAAAGGCAAACACTTTAAGTTCTCTCTCTTCCCAGTCCAGGGTGACAGTAAAGAACCCATCAAAGAAAGATTACTGTATAAATGATTTCTAACATAAATAGTAATATCTAGGTGAAATACCAAGTTTTAAAATGTTATTTTAGGTTGCTGGCCTGGCTGTGACACTTTCAAAACCAAAGGAGGTTGTTCACAGGAAAAAAATGCAACAAAACACTGGCTTACCTGGTTACATGGTCTGAATAGTGTAGGCAACAAAGTTCATTTATCAGATCGCAGTCTTGCCTAAGTCATACAAAACAAGAACATGAACAAAACTGTGATGTACTTAGCTAATACAAATCATACATCAATTACACGCAATGTCATGTTACCATTCATTAAAAAACAACGGGAAAAGCCCATCTTCGCTACGATGATCTTCCACCAGCCAGTAAAAGCAATCGCTGATGCAGAATTTAGAGGACAGAGCAGTAACGGAACAGTTTTGTCCAAACAAAATAGCAAGTGAGGCGAGGATGTTTGCGATGCACACCTGTATTTGATTTTAAGAGAACGAACAAAACTGAAGAAAAACTAAAGCCTGGGTGTATTACATCCTGTCTGTGGATGGATTAAAATCAGACAGCAGATTCATTTACTTCTTTAAAGCCTGGAATTTTAACTTTTAAATCACAGAACCACAGAATCACAGAATGGTTTGGGTTGGAAGGGACCTTAAAGATCATCTAGTTCCAACCCCCCTGCCATGGGCAGGGACACCTTCCACTAGAGCAGGTTGACTCAAAGCCTCATCCAGCCTGGTCTTGAACACTTCCAGGGATGGGGAATTCACAGCTTCTCTGGGATGCAGATTAAGTACCTATAAATATATTCTAGAAGAATCTTTATGGAAATCATTAATAAAAATATTGTACCTGAACACAGACTGGAGAAATAAAATGGATTTCAGAGTTACTCAGCATTCACAACGAACAAGTGAACGAGTCAGAATTTATAAACTGCTTATTTCCACACAGGTAACCTGTAAATAGCGGGTGGGTTTTAACTGCTGAGAAAAGGCTCTTCACAAATAAAAGTGGAACAGTTCGTTCTCAACTTCCCTTTTGAGCAGCAGTGTAAGCTTATGGACTCTTGGGACCAGTGGACATTGCATTTACCCCTTCAGCATTTCTGGGAGGCCATCCGTACTATTAACGTGCCCATGATGGTTCACGTCATCAGCGATTACTAAACTTCACTGTCTGCCTTGGAAAGCATGTCAGAGCCCTACATCCCACCCTCCTTAAATGATCAGTATTGCGCTTCCAAACACCCAACCTGCAGGCATTCGCCACTGCCGACAGAAGCACCAAAGCACATCTGCTTATACAACTAAATCTGGCCCTCGCCACGTGATCAACGCGCAAGCATGACAGGAGCATGCGTAGACAGGAGGTTACGTGTCTCATCGTGCACCACAGAATTCACCTCTGCCGCGACGGGGTACGTTTGAACATGGATGTGACTTTTTATTTTGTGGGTTCCTCTCCCAGTCAAGCCTTCAGCTTTCATTTCTGAAGAACGCCACCCCAGCAGCCAACAGCAGAGCACAAGCGCTCCAAAACCAGACCGCTTATGTCCACCCTTTGTTTCTTTAGCGTAAACAGTGCAGATGAACACAAAGGCAGAAATCATGGTGCAGAACAAGGATAAGGTTACAGAAAAACAAAGCAACTCTCCATGGAGAGGCTGGGGGCAACCGGAAGGCACCGGAAAAGACACCCAGCCTGTTGCTCTCTCCAGGAATTTTATGATGCTGCTGCTACTCTCCCCCAACTCAAGGCATTTGGCTGTTTTCAGACTGTGGCTGCCAGCAAGGATTTTTGCAAGGTCTGCCCACATGCTCCGTTACCTTCGGAAAGCGATGAACTGTGACTGTTTGGCATCCTGCAATCCTGGTCCTTTTTTAAGTAAAGCCTTTATGGCAGTTTGCAAATCTGTTTCAGAAGACATAAAAGGTAAGGCATAAAAATATGCAAAACAACCAATTTAAGAAAGAAAAACATAATTCAGCATGAAATTGTCTTTGCTTATTTCTTGCTTCAGTGACATGTCTGCTTGGTTAAAACAAAGCAGAAAAAAACCCACACTCCCTCCCCGCCTCCAAAATCCAGATCACAAAACACCCGCATATATACTCTCCCCAAAACATATCATGCAGTTATGCCACTGTTAAAAATCTGAGAGACAACAGTGATAAGGAAGGAAAGCAGTTCTTATTTCTCCGTGTTAAACAGAGCGTATTTCATGCAGAGTAAGGTTTTGGTCCAGCACATTAAAGAGGTGAAGACAGAATGTTTTTAAGTCACAGACTTATACGTTTAGATTTCACAGAAGAAATTTGGATTTAGTATTCTGTTTGCTGAGTAAGTTACTACATTAAGATAAGGTGATGATATTGGCACTGTTTTTTTCCACATCCCCCTTGAGGCTTTTTGATGCATATAAAGTAGAGGCTACTCAATCCAAAAACAATGGCCCTAACCCTGACCCCAAAATATTTTTAAAGAAGCACTGGTGTCCCCCTCTGCTTCCATTTCCCTAACTGGACTCTAGACTTGAGAGCACATTCCTGTCCCACACACCATCCTGTTACAGTTGCTGCTTACTCAAATAATTCACTTCTGAAAAATTTAATCTCTTAAGCTTTGACAGCTACAGCTCCAACACAAAAAGACAACCAGATTTTCTCACACTGGTTGAACTACAGCATCGCCATTTGCACTTATGGGTCTTGCTGTGCGCTCTTACAGAAGGCAAACGGTAAACTATGCATCCAGCATTGAAACTCATACCACCAACAAAACCAGACTAAAACCTTCCCCAAACCTTAGCTCCAGCCAAACAGCCTACGCTTTTCCAAAGGGGAAGTCAAGATCACGAACTGACTGTGCACACGTACTGTCACAACCCCCGCCAGTGGGCAAAGCAATAAGAATGAATTTCTTCTCTGGGCTTGGCATTGCCATTTCCTCATTCCAATCAGTAACTTGCAGCACCTCATCAAATACAGGAAACTTCCGCTGGGAGATTCTTGACCAGAGCAGTGGAGGGAAAACAGAAAAGATATTTCTAGTTAAAGAATTCCAGCATATCGTCATCTACATCAGCTTGAAGTTCACCATTTATACATTTTGGGCTATCTACGCTACACACACCAAAAACACTTTCTTCTGAGTGTAACTTATTCTCACATGTCAAAAAAAAAAAAGGTGTTTCTCTTAAACCCTCCAGCACTGCAGTAGACACTTAGTGCAGTAGACACCCATCAGTTCTTTTCATGGGCGCAGACTGGAGTAACACAGAAGCATTACCAAAAAAAAGGGGTGTTGCAAAGCACTTAGTAGCTCTGGACATCCTGCAAAAGTTCAGAGTACTCACATTCCATTCAACATCCAAAGGTCTCGGGGCACTCGGACTTAAATTTTACTGAAGTTTAAAAATGAAATAATGCGCTGATGATAAACAGTATTATTTCCAGACCAAAAGTAAAGCAGATGCTGGAAACATTTAGTACTTCTAGGTATTAATGCAGCAAAACAAATAAAAAGAAACTATGATTTAATGGCTTTTGACATCTAAACTCTCAATATAATTCAGCCTGTTTTAGCTGTTGTCACAGTTACCAGCAATGTCTTTAGATCTCCTTTTTAGAGAAGCAATTGTAAGTCATTTCAGAAGGCATAAAGTGATTTGTGCATGCACAACTCATTTGAAAACAACAGAGTATTTAATAGTGAAATAACATCCCATTAAATTCAAGAGTATTCCAGCACACACATTTTTTTTGACCAATATATATACCCCTGGAAAATGTATGGGTTTTTATTGTTTTGGGGATGGGTTTGTTTTTAAAACCAGTGCTCCCAATTCTGAATAACAGAAGCAGTCCCAAGGAGTCAAATCTGGATGCGCTACTATTTTGCAGGTAAAGCAGCAGGCCTACTACAAGAATGCTTCTTGCACACACAAGTCCTACCTTGAGGCATTATCTACAATTAGTTGCGATTCAGCTCTGTGATTAGTTCGCAGTTCCACAGAACAGCCTCTTGATTTTAGACCCTCAAAGATATCAGCCAACATGTTTCCTGGGTCTATGCTCGGTAGCTGTCTCGTATCACCTAAACGGAATGCAAATCAGTTACTTGTGAGAAGCAATAACAGATCATCTGTTACAAACTGTCTTGGAAAGAAAAAAAAAAAAACAAACACTGGAATTAATAAATACTCAACCCTCTACACAGAAACATGCTTCTTCAATACCATTCATGTGAAATAAAACTTTAAAGAATCTAAGAAACTCCTGGGGATCAGGCTGTAGTGTAGTTTAAATTTTTCACATTCCTCACTCAGTAATGCTTTACTAGCAGGTGCAAATCACTCCGCAAGATGAACACTGACAGCAATCACATCTCATTCAAACACATTTTGATAGTTACACATTTCAAAACAAACGCCATAAACGGCATGCAAAAAGCAAACCTCTGAGACAGCAGAAAGTTTTCGTTTTACACTGTTTTCCTTCCTGAATTGAAACAAGATGATCCCAGCATAAAGAGTGACGTGAAACCTCCCCTCTAACACGTGATCAATACACTAACATTATATTCTGCAAATTTAAGCAAGTCAGAAAAGTTTTCCAGTTGCAAGACACAATAGCTTGGAACACAACCACATGGAAGTCATAATACTTTAAGAATCAGATAAAACACCGCTAAACAGAGAACAGACACGGATACTTTCATACTGATAGCTGAGATAGAAAACTGTCCATCTCATCTGACCTTACGAATAAGCAGAAACATCCAAGTACAGAAGAATGCAACATCCCGAGGTTGTTAAGAGACTCTGTGAGACCAGTGGCAGTTCCCATACTTGGGTGACATATGGTGTATTATTAAATATTCTAAGTTTGCTGTTTCACTTACCTAAAATAATAAGTTTGGCAAGCTGAGCATGCTTACACAAGAGTTTTAAAACTACACTAAGAATGTGAACAGACACCAAACTTCCTTCATCCACAATCAGAACTGTCACAGTAGAAAACTTCCATGGCTGTACTTGCTCACTCTGCCTCCACGATTTGAAGCTATAGATGATCTGAAAACAAAACACACTAAATCAGGCTCTGTGATTCACTAAACAACTGTGAACAACTGTCTCATAAAGGCTTCCAGAGTGTGGCATCTTCTAATGTTATGTTTAGAGCTATTATCTGAGATTCTGAATTTAAACCTGTAAGGACTCAGAAGACTCAACCATTCAGGCTTATCTTCCTCCTTCGTGAATACATTTCTAGCTGAGATTATCATCACTTACTTAGATAAAAGCACAGAAATGCATACTTTTTTAATGCAGGAACTCTAAAGGATATAAGGTCAGCCATTAGGTTGCTCAGCAACAGAACACCTCATAGAACAACCTGCTGACATTAAAAAATCCCCAGCAGTGCATGGGGAAGGGGAACAGGCAACTATCCAGTCCCCAGAGATTAAATAAGCCCATGGTACTTTTTACGTTATTTTAATTTTGATCTATACAGGTTGTTCCACACCTCCGATGTCCTCTTGGCACCTAGGACTACAACAGAGACTTGACCCAAGTTTATTGGCAAAGGGGTTGGTTTCTACTTTATTATTTTAAAAATTGCACAATATTAAACAGTAATTAGGAAAACACTGTGTGAATGAAGTTTATCTCATTATTCAGCCCTAGGCTACTGATCTCTTCATGTGTGTGCAGGTATCAGTATGACTGCTAGGCAACAGGATACTAGAAAATAACTCTGCCATCTAGAAAGTATCTCTCCCTTAATTTAAGAAAAGAAACCAAACAAAAACAAAGCCAAGAAGCTAAAAAGACCAGATGTCCCAGAAACACACAAGTCTGTGTACAAGTAAAAAAAAGTTACAGCAAAAATCAGTAATTTGAAATACATTGTATGATTCCCTAAAATGTAACACTGACTTTCAAATGCTGACAAGCTGTACCTAAGCACTATCATTAAGAGCTACACATTTCATAAGGAAAATAAAACAACAAGCTTTTTGCCTTTTTTCAATACAAGAATGGACAGTGACAAAAGGTCTTTCAGAACACAACTAAAGAAAAAAATAATTCCTTACCTGATGCAGTGTATAAGCAGGAAGCTTAGTTTTTTCGCTCAAAAGGCTTGCTGCCCTCCCTGTAGGTGCCGTAAATAGTACGTTCAGTTTTTTTGTGTGCATGTTCTCTGACTCACAATGATGATCAAAGGTATTCCATTCCTCTGACGCATCCAGGTCTTCTTCAAAGTCCTTAGAAGCAGCTTCCACTTCTTTTTCCATCTGCTTTAAGTGACGAAAAAGGCAGCTAACTATTGTACTCTTCCCACAGCCTCCCTTTCCACTTATGATTGTGACGGCATTAGAACAAATCCTCTGCATGGCAATCTCCTGATCTGAGTCCACCTCTGCTTTACTCTGGGTACCAGATGTCGACTCCGCTTCCTTTTCAGGGAAGTCATTTTCACAGTTATGGTTGTCTGGATTATTTTCCTTCAGCCGTTCCACTTCATGAGCCTGGGCATCATTCGTTTTGTTATCTACCACTTCTCTTGATATTGCAGCAACGTTAAGTATCTTTCTCACATCAACATCCAGTTTCCACGAGTGGTTTGACAGAAGGTCACCTACGCACATTGCAATGTCCTTTTCAGCTTTGTAAAGATGAGGCAGAAACACTGTTTTTTTCTCCCTAATCACTACATTCTGATCTTTCAAAAATTCAAGAGATTTCCAAGCAAGGTCAATGGACATATCTTTAGATACAAAATCAGCTAGTTCATCTTGATCTTCATAAGTGTGTCCCATTTCTTTACACTGTTTCTTGAGGTGATCATACAGAATTAATGCATTCTTCTGCAAGTCGGGAATCTTCGAGAGGAGTTGTTCACACTGACAGAAGGCAGCCCACGTTGCCTCACAGTAAGAAAGGTTCAGTTCCCTATAGATAATCTTCTCACAAAGAAGAATAGAAGCAAACACATATTTATTTCAGAAGATGTTAGCCTCTTGCTGAATAACATTCCTCATAAAAAATACAAATTGCAATCCAGAGGGTGGAAGTTGACAAAAATTTTCATAATGTACAAAGATCTAATGCTTTTCAAGCTATCTGAAAGCAAGGTATTTCAAAGTAAGATGGAATAACAATTCCTCAGTCAACCTTCTGTATAAAGCAGAATCTTTAAAAAACAAAAACCTGGTGCAGAAATTGGGTATTAGAGAGAACTTGTGCACACCTTATCAGCACAATTTCAAGTACAGGCACAAACAACTAGAAACAAGCATAGGAAAGCATCAGCCAGAATGCTGTACCCAATTCTGAACATGCTACTTCAAGAAACACACCATCTTTACAGAGACTACCACAAAACAGGGAAAGACTGAGATGTATAAAAAAGACGAACTATTGAGGGAAAGTAAAATGAACTGGACTTGCTGAGACTTAAGAAAAAAGGAGACGTCAAGCAATAGGAAAACTGCAGTGAGAATGCGGATCCTTGGTACAAGAAATGAGAGCAAGTCTATATTGCACCAAGGAATAGTCAAATTGGACATCAGGAAAAGCCTTTTAAAGAAAGGATGCGGAATACTGGAATACATTGGCTAGACTGCTGAATCTCTGAAACTGGAAGTGTTAAAAGACAAGTTAGAACATGTGTCAGTAAAAGCACTGGGGGGCTGAAGCAGAGAGATGACCTCATCACACTGATGAGCTCTTCAGCCGTAGCTCCCACTTGAGGTACAGGAGTGCCAAGGTGAGGCACAGCAGCAAAGCTGCCCAGCAAGCGCAGCACAGGAAAACCTGGAGGTAAGCAGCAACAGCAAATCCCGTTAAAAAAAGCAGAACAACCAGAGCAGCTGAGCTATTACAGAGTAACCTCCATGCCTTGCTGCAGAAGCACAGATACTGCTCCGGGCAGGAAGAACAGAAAGTCTTATTTGCCAGTATAAAACTGAACACTGAGAGTTTTTAATCAGTTTTCTTACTTTCGGCCCAATTACCTCATGTGTTTAATTTTCTGTTCCCTGTAGAAAAGACTAAGCAAATGGTTGTAACAAAACCACCTTTAAAATCTTCTAGGACAGATTTAATGTAGACCAACTGGAAAAACACCCCTTTGCTTAAACTGAGCCCAGTAAGTCATCCATTTCCAAATTAACTAAGCTTACCTCCTACAAATGTCCAGTTAGTAAACTAAACGCAACTGAAACAGCACTGTATTCTAATAAAGGTCACATGTAACAAACACCACATCTTTTACCCTGCTTAACATTACTTACCCTGCTGAATCCAAGTTTCCATGGATCATTCTTTAATATCTCGTTCAACTTGAACATCTTGTCTTGAACATGTATTTCCTCATGCCCTGTATCACTGTTTCCTTCAGTCTTTCTTTGCCAACACACCATATCCAACAGACAGCAAAAATGACATGGCAGAAGGATTGGCAAAAATTCCAGTATCATCGGAAAAGTCAGAGCTACCAACACTGCCTTTCCTGCAACTGTATGGATCATAAACCAAGAATGTTTTAAGCAACATGCAAAGATATTTGTAAAGGCAATTTAAACTGACTCTGGCTCTTACCCTTCTGCCTCCCCTACACACAAAACACCCCTAATTTCTTTCAGTTTCTTATTAATTGTAATCCTTTCCACATTATTTACAAGACTATTTTCCCTGAACTGCATTGGGGGGGGGGAGATGGGGGTGCGGAGGAAACTTGTCAACAGATGAAAACTGCAACTAAACGTACTCCTCAGGAAAAGATGTATTATATATTTGGCTTGAACTGCCTACTCAACAGCATTTTGTAAAAGTCAGCTCAGACATCACCATACCTGCCTCTCCTATCTAAAGATAATTTTCATACAGATGTACAGGAGAGCATTTAAAATTCAAAAGAGGAAGACAGACTTTTAAATTTGTGGTATGAGATCAGTACAGGAACTTAGGAAAACTGGTCTTTATAGGCTTTCTTAATGAAAGAAAAAAAAAAAAGAAAGAAAAAAGCTATCACTTTGCCTGTTTGGATCAGTCTCGGGATCTGCAAAAGGAGGATAATGAAACTGATTCAGTCTATTCCCTGCTTAAAAAAAACCCCAATTTTAGAAGAAAGTGAGACTTGTAAAGTTTTATCTCTTCATAGGGGAAAAAAAAAAGCCACACCCACGCAATTTTTAATAGAAGTGTTAAAGAAACCTTGTTAATTACGACCTTAAAATACCCATTTTTCTCAGTTCAGTACTTTTTCTGGTCGCTGTCTTACCTCCAGAAAGGCAAAAATGAAGCCTTTTCCCTTGGAAGCAAATACCGAATTTACGAGTGGAGAATCATGAATGCCTGCATAACAAACTATTCCAGCCCTTAACAATGACAACCCGGAAAAAGTAACAATAGTAACAACACGACATAAGGGGTGTGGTTGTTGTTGCTACTGCCTAATGACGGAGGAAGAAGAAAGCTTTATTTGCAGCAAAATCCCATATTAGGGAATATCTGCCAACTACAAGAACTATAAACAGGATACCTAGGCATGCTGCGCAATCTTCAACACAAGATTCATGAACATTATTAGACACACTTCAATTGGAAGGGATCCACATATCTCATTAACACTCATACAGCAAACTAGATCTGAGTTTCTACCACTATGGTTTCCCATCTTTCTCTGGTCCTGAAAAGACTTAAAGTCTGTAAATAGGGGTTAAGAACTTTTCTGCCGTGACAAAAACACAACAGAAAGCTTGAAGTCTACAGAACTTTGAAAATTTTCCTCTCCTTACACACGTAATTTGGAGTAAAGTCTAGCAAAAGCTATGAACTCTCCCATCAGATGTGATCTGTCCTCCAAAACAGTCACCCCCATCTTTTGACCTGCCACTGCTCAGCAAACCAGGTACTGGAAGACTTCATAGATAGACCTATCTGTCTGTACAGATTTAGCTGCGGTTGAATTTAAAAGATCCCCTCCAATTCAGAGCACTGAGTGCCATGGCACTGAGACAGCACCAGCCCAGGACTGCCTAAGTCCACATCAGGAATGTGGCACAGTGGAAACAGATCACTGAAGCAAAACAAGAGAGCTAGTGTTGGAGACACTTCTCAGACATCTTCACTTGTTCTGTTTCAGTGTTTTGCTTCCAACCAGCTATAGTTCAGTCCCACGGACTGAATGCCCATTAGGGGTTGGCGTACCTTAGGCGTGCAACTGCAACACAGCTTTTGGGTTTCATCCAGCCAATGGTCTCAGAGACTGTACCACAATAGGGCCAAGAGGGATGTTTGACTCAAAAGCACGCTACTGATCCAATCTCTAACATTCATGTAGTCACAACATAGCCCACAACAGGATCCTCAGCGGTCCTGACCCTCTTCCATGTGAGGACACGCCAGCGTTTCCACACTCTGCTCCCCAGCCATCCCATCTGCTGATGGGCAGGATTCACTTAGATAGCCTATTCAGTGAAGCTGATTTGGACTGCCCTGAGCTCCTTTGCTGTTCCCCTGAGCTACAGAGAAGCCGCTATACTATTTCTGAACACATGTTCATCCTAAAAAGCCGTACCACCACGTTTAAGCAGTGCTGAACCCATTTTTTAGTAAGCCTTGTTACACCTGAATAAACTATAGGAAGCCAGCACCAGTGTCTTTGCATCTCTAGCACAGACAGTTCTACTCAGTAAGCCTACAAAACGCAGGAAAGTCCTTACGTGTTTCTAACTGTATCTTTAATTAGATACAGTTGTCCCACTGTAATCTAATCCCATTGTCCTCAAATTCAAAAAAAAGGAAGAATCTTTGCATGTTCAAAATTCATTTGAATATACACTTCATATGAAGATACGTTAGCTTGAACACAGTATCTGAGATAGAACTCATTAGCTTATAAAACAATCAAAATAGCACAGGATATACCCACATGATTTCAAAACATAGCGGAAGATGTCACAGTGCTTAGTGTCTCCTTTCTTCTCTGTCTTTAAGTATGAAACTTGGAACTGGTTCAGCTTTTCTTCAAGATTTCTGAAACTCAGCACAGACTCCATAGGAAGCCAAGTAAAAAACTTTCCTTTAAGATCATCAGGAACGGCACATTCCTTAAGAAAGAGCGAAAAGACTTGTCGGTTGTTCTCTTCTATATTGTTCCGCAGAAAATACGATGGATATCCTTGCACAAAGTACTTCGACCTCACTTCTTTAGCTTTAACCTTAACTTTCCACCAAGGGTCAGCTAATGGAAAACGTCCAACTACTTCATACTCCTTTTTGGAATTGTCTTCTTGTATAACAACTGAATCATTAAAAAGAAAAATAAACCCACTGTTAATTAATAGTCATAAAGATTAAAAGTTTGGTTTGATTAAAAGAGTTTTCATAGAATCACCGAATGGTTTGGGTTGGAAGGGACCTGAAAGATCACCCAGTTCCAATCCCCCTGCGATGGTCAGGGAGCCCTTCCACTAGACCAGGTTGCTCAAGGCCTCATCCAGCCTGGCCTTGAACACTTCCAGGGAGGGGGCATCCACAGCTTCTCTGGGCAACCTGTTCCAGTGCTTCATCACCCTCTCCAGGAAGAACTTCTTCCTTACATCCAGTCTAAACCTCCCCGCTTTCAATTTCAACCCACTCCCCCTTGTCCTGTCCCTACAGGCCCTTGTAAAAAGTCCCCCCTCCAGCATTCTTGTAGATCCCCTTCAGGTACTGGAAGGCTGTTTGTTCAAAGCTTATTTTGTCTTTCATATAAATTGCAGTGGTAAAAGGAAAGCAGGGTTTTTCATCAACTTCCTGATGTCAGTCATTCCAGTAGTATTTAAAAAAAAAAATCGGAACCAACCTTGAATCAACTACTAAAACTGCTTCTCTAAGTGTCAGAACTACAAAATTAAACTTGCTATGAATTTTTATTAAGCCAATTAAACTCACTGGTGTATTATACCATTTATGGCAAGACAAGTTTGCAATTCAAAGTTAAACAGTTTTTTCAAAAAGCGTTGTGTCACAGTGTCTGCAGCCTCTTCAGATACATTTTTACACCAAACACTTCCTGCAACTGAAACCACCAAAATTATAAGAAATACAATAAACTTCTAATATTCTGTTTGACCTGGTTTGCCTCATCTTTCACTCACTTAATACAACTAATACACGATTCCTCGATCCACGACTGGGGACTAAATACAACCCACCACAACAAAGCAAGCACCCAGGTTTAGCAGGACCGCTTTCTCAACACACTACCAGCAGCTCTTGGGCCTGTACCAACTTGTCTGTTTATTTTGCCCCTTGTCACCGAGCTCAATTAAAACATTTTTAAAACAATTTTCAGATAAAATATTATTAGCTAGGCAGGAGTTGCTCCAACATCACCTGACTTTCTAAGTACTACACAGAAAGTAGGGAATCACTACTGTCAAGTATCAATAGCCTTCCATGTCATAAACAGAAAAAGAAGGCACTTTTTGGGTGAAGTTAACTTGAATGGAAAAACTACGTTTTCTTGTCTCGCACTAGCGTGGCCATATAGAAGTGCCCGTCACGCCCCCCTCCTACCACCTGTGCAAGGTTTATCACCCACTTTATCACCTGTCTGCAAGGCCAGGCTGGATGAGGCTTTGAGCAACCTGGTCTAGTGGAAGGTGTCCCTGTCCATGGCAGGGGGGTTGGAACTGGATGGTCTTTAAGGTCCCTTCCAACCCAAACCACTCTGGATTCTATGATTCTACTTCGCAGCGTTTCCCCTTTACTTGTTATGAGTCCGGTAACGGCGGAAGGAGGGAGTTTCGATTTGATCCACTTGTAAAACATGCGACATCAGCAGACCCGAGCCCCCCGACCCCAGCAAGGCGGCTGTCGGGTACCAGGCCGGGCCGGCGGGCC